TATATACCCTCACCCCATTCCACTCCTAAATACAAACGACAGTCATGCATTTCAACATGGTCAAGTAATTCTGTACAACTCCTTGGCGCAGTTTTGGGTTTCCAATACACCCGCATGATTTCAAACACATGGACAAGGGACAGAATTAATTCCTATACGATTAAAGTGAAAAGCTATTAATAGCCTTTATCCCCTTTCTCTCCATTTTCACCTATTTTGCATGACAATTCATGATCAGTCTTTAGGCTCAAAGAAAAGGGTCTGGATGTACATTTGGTCAGTTTGTGATTAATATCGTTAGTACAAGCCGTCAGGGTAGCCTACAACAAGTATCATCAACCAGTACCATTAGGACACAGTGTCAGTCTAAGTAAAACCACAAAACACAATAAGTATCATCGGCCAAGATACGGCAAGTGATTCTAAATAAATATACATTTTTCGATTTATTAAATAAAAGCAGAATAAATACATCTCAAAATATACATAGTGTTTTCTAATAAAATCGTCGATTTAGGAATTAAAATTTCGATCAATCAGCTTTGTGTCTTTTAGCAAGCGGGCCAATTGTTTAACGACAGTGTAACTTTGGCATGGATAAGTAGCAACCCACGTAGTACGAGAATTATCAATTATTAAGATCCGCTAAGTGAAACCCGTGAAGTTAAACATATATGCGACCCTACTCCTTGTCATGTACAAGCTTGGCTTCGAAAACAAGCCACCCCTTGACTCAATGATAGACCTTATTCCACTTGAGACCCACACCCCTCCTCCGCTGTTCAAGATACAATAGGTAGTACGTGAACAATAAGGGTTGGAAAGAAAAACTTGTCAATCAATATACTCCCAATCGACTTCCAAACAAGTGAAAGAAACAGAAGTCTACAAAAATTTTCCATTTAAGCATGAGTAAGGTTAAAAAGTCGTAAGAGTTAAATTCGAGTACGCAATTTAGAGCATAGGCTTATAATATTGGTAGTATTATTTGAGTGCATACGTAAGTGTATTTACGGCGGAGTTCGATTTTATTGTAGAACATTGACCTATCGAGTAAAAATTAAACGAGAATGTCCCCAAGTGAGCTGTGGCCATAAAACCACTCTTATCTTTTACGAACGTTGATTTTCATTGTTTAATTCGCTTGGTATTGTGTTCGTTAACCTGGTCTTGATCACCAAGTCGTACTCTTGCATCGACACGTTAATATCAGGCGTCTTGGGTGATTTAGCGCCTGCTGTTTTGAGAGAAATGTGACCATGGGTAATGGGGCGGAGGGGGTACAGACGGGTTGAGTATTCTACGTATAAATCATTTAAATTAGCAGACCAGTAGACCCCCAACATAGCCAATATCCTGGTAATATCTCTACGTGCCCAGAGCACTTCCAACCATTAAAGGAGCAGAATCGCTATTCTTTAGCATCTAGATTTGGACACAAAATGGGTCGCAACGCATATAATAATGTAATATGAATGTATATAAATTGATTTGCATTCAATCGTTTCGGTTTTACTGTAATTTCTAATCAGATATGTTCGGCGAAATACGCTAAATGGCGCTCCAACGCATTCTGGCACGCGATTCGTGTGCTAATTATAAAATTTTCATTCTGTCTTAAATATAGGATATCAGAAGCCGATCTTTTCACGGTAAGTTAACAACATCAGTGTTGATTTAAATTGACAAACAATTCGTGTTTGCAATATCGAAACTAGACTGTATTTGAGATTTGCCTCCTTAATGTTACGTTATTATCCCGTTGATTTGATTGCACTAGTCTCTAAATGATCTTAGCTCACAGACACATGAAGGTATTAAAATAAAACTTCTTACTACTGTTTGGCTATATATTACAGTATTAACAAGTATCCCACCCGCCATATTGTTGACTCGTTGACGACATTTCGTGTGCTATCATCTCACAATACTCACTAGTTCTACCACTTCCCATCGGTTGTATTGCCAATGAGACTTTATTTGATCATTACGCAGCTTACAATGTAATTAAATTTGTCGTTTTACGGCGTTATTAATTACAAATCAACCCCAAAGCGCTATCTCTTGACGAGTATCAACTTCGTTGGACCGGAAGTTACACGAAATGAGGTCAATGACGTCGCGTTGGGGAAGCCCTTGTTTTTGATTGGTCGAGACGTGTTACTAAAACTAAATACTCTCATTGGTATGTGGGGGGGTTGGATGGCTGAATGGTTAGCGTGCGCGCGCTGTATCATAAAGTCTGTCATTGAGTCGACTGGCGTGGTTTCGAATCCCCGGTTGTACGTGGCAAGGAGTAGGGTCGCCTGTCCAACCTCGTGGGTTTTCTCCGGGTCCTCCGGTTTCCTCCCACTGCTAAAGACCCCTAGCGCAAGCGAATTATGTAAATAAAATTAACCCATATGTTAGTCCCGAAATGACCTAGTTTGTGTCGAGTGGACGTTAAACCCCATTTCTCTCTCTCTCTCTCATAGGTATGTGGTACAAAATTAATATATTTTTTGTGAAAAAACATTTTGCCTTTTAGTCGGCAAAATGAAGTGCCTGAAATAAAGTCCCCTCTTCTCCTCATCCCCACCCCTGCCCTTATCAGATTGCAACTCATATTATTTCTTAGAACATGACGATCACCTTTTTCATTTCTGAATCCTGATCCCATACTATGGCATAGACTGCCAGTCTATTATTTTGTTTGTGATGCCAATGCCAGAAATCGAACGTCTCAGGTTTCGGCCTATATGTGCTATAATAGATTTTTCGGGCATCGATCATTATTTGTTTCATCAATTTTTCAGAAACTGTTATTTTTTAAATTGACTAATGAATTTTTTTTTTTTTAAATAAGTGTAAAAAACGATGTGTAGTGCCACTCTAGAGTAGTCACTTTGCTTTATGTCCGCAATTTTTTGTTTATGCCCAAATAGACAGACAGACAGACAGTAACAACAAGATGACGTCCCGTTACAAAAATATTGTGGCCCGTTTTTATAACTTCATTGGCCTGGTTTTGCTCTGGAATTAATACCAGGGACATTTTTTTTTTCATTTTCACCGGACATGCACGCGTGGTTGTGTCTTGGTGCAGTCTGGATCACCCAGTCCCTAGGCAAATTTGGCATAACGGATAGGTTAATGAAGGGACTGTGTGATAAAGACTGTTACTAACAAAAACAAAAGAGAATTCCTTTGACCTCATTTTGCGTTACTCCCGGTCTGACGAAGTTGATAATCACCACGTGATAGCACTTCAGGTTTGATTTGTAATAAATGACGCTGTAAAAATGTCAATTTAATTACATTGGAAGATGTATAAAGATCAAATAAAGTCTCGTTGGCAATACAAAACGATTGGAAGTGGTAGAACTAGTGAGTGTTATGAGATGATAGCAGACGAAATGTCGTCAACGAGTCAACAATATGGCGGGTGATATACTTTGTTAATACTGTAATATATAGCCAAATAGTAGTAAGAAGTTTTATTTTAATCCCCTCAAGTGCATGTGTCTTACCATTGTGTTCGCGAGACTTAAAGCCAAGTAATCATTCTCACTATTGCAAATACATACACCAAATTTAATATATATGTACATTAATATATTTGATATCCAGTAGTCTTTTTGTTGTCTAAAGGAATGTAATTGTACACAATTGGTGCTTTTAAAGTATTTACTTAACTCGATAAGTAGTAATGGAGTAACGTGGGTATGTGTTGACATACTAATCGGGTGATCTTCTTTGTCATATAATGCACTTATTAATCGACATCTTGGCATTTTGCCGAGAAAGTGAATGACATAATAAAAGGGATCCCTCAAACCCTTTTTTTCGATAAAATAACTCAAAGAATATCAATGAAGTAATCTCATTGTGATCTATTTTTTTTATTAAATCTTACCGCAGTGACTGGAAATTTAATTTTAAAAAGAATTAATTAAATGACAATATTTGACATCAGGGGCGCCGTTCCGGGGGGGGGGGGTCTCTACCCCCGGCCTCTAGAAAATTTTGAAATTTGTCAAGTCCGAGATCGCTGTTTAGGGCGCCTCTAGCATTCCAAATTCCATCATAGACATCTGGCCAAGACATGGACTGATAGCTGATAATGAGAGTTCGAGAGCCGGTTCGCGACCGACCAGAGAGCAATTACATATCTATCATTTAAAAATGAATAGACTAGTACGGGTATACATGTATACCCTAGAAAAGGGCAGGGTACCATTTGTATACCCTGGTACCCGGGTTCCGCCGGCGCCCCTGTTTGACATGTTATTAACGTTTTTCATTGTAACTTTTCCAAACCTTATATCAGAGCCCAAATTTTCAATTTCATTTATCATTAAAAGAACAGAGTGAAACACCAATAATATAAATTTTGGAGTGATTCATTTATTTAAAATGTCAAACTAATCACATTTTCAATTATGTCATCGATGAGAGTATATATTACGTAATATGTTTAAAGTAAAAATACGATATAAATTCGAAATATTTCGATGGGAACGAGGGAAAGGGTCAGAATTTATTTAGTAGTCATATCAAAACCCCCAAATTCCTTTTACTTTTATTAAAAATCTCTCAATTGTTGTATGTATTATTATGTTCATATTACCATTTACATTATATATCATAATTAACTTTTAATAATGTCTGTATATTATTATGTTCGTTTTATTATTTACAATACATATCATTATTAACTTTTAATATTTTTTGTATATTATTAACCTCATTAACGTTTAATAATTTTTGTATATATTATTATGCCCATATTATTATTTACAATATATATCATCATTTACTTTTAATAATTTGTGTGTGTGTGTGGCTGGTTATTAAAGTAGACTTTCTATAATGTTTGTTGTGTATGATGGAGAAATCACATATATATAAATTAAAATACAATGCCTTAAAAGTCCAATTAAATACATGTGTATATACATGTAGATAAGTACAAAATGCTTTAAAAACGCAAAGCGCAAATCATAGTTATATGTACTTACCCACGTTTTGTAGCTAACTAAGACACTGCATATGGAGAAATGTCAACACATACATATACGTGGAAATAAAATAAAAAAAACAATCAATATACATTCATATCCAAAAATCCATACGCGAACATTCCCGTTAAGGGCACTTTTAGATATGGGCTAATAATAGATAATGTAGTAGTAAATGTTTACTGACCAAAAACAGATCATTATTTAGCTTATCAAAAAAAAAATCAAGGTTTAAGATATTAAAAATTTACTTCCTATATCTATAGAACATATATTTTTTGGAGAGAGAGAGAGAGAGAGAGAGAGAGAGAGTAATGCCCACTGGACACAACTAGATCATTTTTTGACCAACATAAATATGTTTTAATTTTATCCCATTAAACCTGTAAGGGTCTTTTGTAGAGAGAGGGCCAATCAAGATACATACACACCCAAACGGATAAAAGATAATTTAAACTTTTAATTAATGGCAGAATAAGGCCCTAATCGAAACGTCATCGAACTATATTCCGTTATTTTAGAAATGGGCTTTGATATCGAACGGCTAATCGCTGTTTGAACAGTATAGTATTAAATGTTTATTACATTTCATAAGTGACCAATTCAGATCATTAATCAGGTTATTAAGATATTCAATCTTTAATAAATTTCAAATATACTTACATATATTTTGTATATCCATAGAACATTCATATCACATTGTTTAATATTTACGAACAATACTTATTATAGTTGAATTATCAGCGTAGTATTGCAATCTTTCTGTGAATAGTATTTAACACCAGTTGGATATTTCCTATTTACGCTGTAAATACATGACAATGTCATATTATACATGTACCTACTTTATAAATCTCTTTTCACACCTACTCCCGAATAAATACACTATTAAAAAAAACTACTGTTCTTTTAACAGTATAAAAAAGAATGAGTTTTAACGACTCGTTATGCCATTTTGAGACTAAAAGACGTTTAATCCAACTTCGAAGGGATCCTTTTATTATATTACATTATTACACACTTATTATAGCCAACAACGGAGATAACAAAGAACACACTTGATAAGAAAGAAGAAAAAAACAGAACACGTTAAATGTGTCCTTCAGAAATTACAGCTCTAGATAATCTATCCAATAAAAGAGTCACTAAGTAAACACTTTTTAAAATCAGTCTTTAGTTTTAAACGCTGAAATAGAACTGACTTGTCGAATTTCATTTGGTAAAGAGTCCCCAAGTAAACACTTTTTTAAAATCAGTCTTTAGTTTTAAACGCTGAAATAGAACTGACTTCACGAATTTCATTTGGTAATGTTTTCTACATGTGCTAATAAAGTAAAGGGGCGGGGTCCGGGAGGGAGGTCTCCCCTCAGAAATTTTGGAAAAATACATGGTCTCTAGCGTCTATTTGGTGTATATTTGCGGAAACTCTACGAGGTCATTACCAAATCACAGAAACTGACAAACTAAACTGTACGAGGGCAATCCATACCTATTAATTCACACCGCAGACTGTAAGTATGATTCGGCGGATATTAGAATTTTTTTAAAATGTAATACTTCCTAAAGAGTAGACCCTCCAGCGTATATCCAGAAACAAGAAGAATTCGAAATAAACGAAATAAAAAATACAATTTTCACAGATGGCGGCTATCTGAAAAAGAAAGCGAATATGCCATGCCAGACTGGCGACCAAGCTTGAGTTTTAAGGGGGACTGGGAGAGATTGGTCACATTCTCAACGCGGCGTACAGCAACAAAACATCGAATCATAACTCAGATTCATATTTTCGAACAAAGGTACGGTGATACCTGACGGCGCCTTTTTGCCCACATTGAAACTTTTTTTTTCTCATAGCACGGTTTTCGCTCATCAGAGCACGGACGTGCTCCAAGGCATGTTAAAATACCCATTGAGATATATAATGTGGGACCAAATCATTCATGCATTTAAAGACAAGTAATAGTATTTTGTATTGTATCCTATATGCTATGGGTAGTCAGTGCACAACATAAAAGAACAGTGTGAAATGCGACAAGCTTTATGTGACAGAAATTAACTGAGTACCGCGGAGGTGTCTAGGGGTAATATGAAGGAATTGGACCAAGTACTGATCCTTGTGGAACTCCGCATTTCGGTTCGGAATTTTCGATTTTCCATTACCAATAATTCTAATACACTGTTCTCTAAAATACCAAATTTTAATCCGGTGTATTGAATAATGTATTTTGACAGCTAAAATGTCATTCTGAACACGAGCCAACTTTAGTATCTATGATCAACCTATTAATTTGCGAACGTATTTTTATTAAAGACACATTATGTAAGAACTAAATCTGCTTAATACAGGTCTTTCGTTTGGACTTAAATGTTATATAAGTCAGTAATTAGACATTTGTTCACATGCCAAGCCCATAATCAACCGGTAGTTTAGATTTTAATGCCAGTTAATAATTTAATTTCAAAAATAGATATTATCGTAACCATCAAGACTACAGTGTTCTACCAACGGCGCTCAAAATGAAGTACTTTGACTTAAATTTTCAAGATATTCCATTTTCATTATCAATTTGTTTAACTATTGCAGCGAGAAGTGTCATCTCTTTATCTAAATCTTACATAATGCATCTTTATTGAGGGAGGTAAGCTATCGTTGTCCATTATAATTTGGCGTTCATTAATCAAATACTCTAGGGCAATTAATTCCTAATTTAGTCCAATTTGTTTGTGTAGATTAGCACCTTTATAGCTAACACAATCTGTTTTGACCATATCATCCTGAACTGAATATGACTTAATTGTTGAAAGTGCTTTCAGAAATGTTTCGTTTTCACAGTGTAATGCTGTATGATTTAAGTTTACAATATAAAGTGTAGTATTATATGACCATTCGGGTAAATAAGTATGTAATAATACCTAGGATAGTATACAATTCTATACCACATATACAGAGTAATGTGAGACATGTTGTGGATATTGAAAAGACTTTTATCGTTGTTTTTAATCTTCCATTCTTAATAAAGAAGTCACTACGTCAAGCCTTTAGCTATGAGATCACGATTAATACACAACTATTCAATATACAAGGACCTTTAAATGAGAGAGAGAGAGAGAGAGAGGGGGAGGGGGGGCTGGAGAGAGAGATACAGAGAGAGAGAGAGAGAGAGAAAGGGACAGAGAGGGAGAGAGGAGGGGTAGGCAGGCTACCCATCATGCTAGACCTTATTTTCTAAAGTGTAAGCTTTAGATCGCTTAGGGATTTTATATTGGCCATTGAAAGACATACAAAAGACCGTATTTGACTATCAGTATCCGATTCAGAATCGGTTTACATACATTGAAGAATTGGCAATTTAGTGTGTTGTTTTATTCATCTTAAATATCATTCCTTTATATTTATATAATGAAGAATCGGATACCGGATTTTATCTTTGACCATGACTAAAAATAACAGTTTCTAAATTTCCTCCCATCCGAACGTCTAAACGTTGTTCCATGCCAGATTAATAAGTCCCGTCAATAATCACCGAAGCTCCATATGAACATAGGAAACCCTCTATTAATTTGAATACTCAAGAAACCAGGCCCGTAGCTAACGGGTGGGGGCGCTGCCCCCCTTGGACGCAATACAAAGCCAACGAGTGACATTGGTTGGACTCCCACGATGAGGCGCCTCATAATGAATCACACGATAACTCCACAAATTGATTGATGGGGTGCCCAAAACGGCGTGATCTGTTGTTTGCCTTATCCCAGAGGGGCGCCCATAATGACATGATTGGTGGGGCGCGCCTTATAATGACAATATATGATTGTCGGGCCGCACACAATACACAATAACGAGTGAGATTGGTTGGGCGCCCACGACTTGATCAATGGGGCGCCCAAAAGGGCATGATTGGTGGGGTGAGTGAGATTGGTTAGGCGCGCCCACGAATGAATTCGTATTCTTCCTTCAAATTTTGATGATGTTCATATCAAAATATAATACGCCAATATCGCAACTTCAGCCTCAAAATTGAAATTTTCCGTCATTTTCATAGTTCGTCTCCCCAGGTACAAATCCTATTTTCCAAAATTTTCTGGGGGGAAAACACCATAGACCCTTTATCCGAAGGGGGCGCGTCCACGGTGCCGTTCGCCGTGGACCGTCAAGTGTAGGTCCATGGGCGCCCCCAGACGCCCCCTGTTCCACCACCAACCCCAACATTTTTCGGCTAGCTACGGGCCTAGAGACGACCCAATCTGTATCTGGTAAATATAACTGGTTTTGTTGTGTATATTTGTGTTTGATTTGAATGCCTTCAAGCAAGTTGACAATATAAATCAATCAGTAGGTATGGTCGAACACGTATCCATTCATCATCATTGTCCAGTATATATGTTATACGCCATTCTTCGAACACTTGATATAGATAAACAAATACCCATGTTAAATTTGTACAAACAAGATCATAAATGTTTCCCTTTTATTATGATAATAATACACTGTCCCCAAAACACAGGTCAGATGCTTTGAGAATATACACTCAAAACTATACATGTATTTTTATTGCACAGGGTAGGTATATTGAATCGTAACAGACATAAGGTCTCTTCAATTCTATGTCGTATTTTTGGCCGCCATTGCCCATTCATGGTAATTTAACACAACTTATTTGCTCTTCTACTACACACACCAACTGGGTAATACTATAAAATTTATAGATATACTAAAATTGTTTAAACCAGATGGGTCAATTGTCTTCGTTCATATTGCAGATCAGATTTGAAGTTAAATCTATTTCAAAATAATCACGTTAGCGACTGACACTACACATTGATTACTCTTTAGCCATGTCTTGGAATAGTAATGATAGATCAAAGATTAACAAGCCGTTACCATGCAAGATATATACGCCAACATGTTTCAAGGGATTGACAGAGAACGAGCTAAAAATAGCGATTTCTTTTATACAATCAGGGGTCATAATTCAAGAAGTTGGAATCCGATATGCGCAAATATCAATAGTAATCAAAAACTTTGGGAAATGGACATATATTTCAAGTTGGTATTGCATAGTCTTACACTATTTGCGTACGGGGAGCGACATTTTTGTCGGACAGGTTTTTTTTTTTTTTTATCGGATAACAGTTGTGATCTCTAAATAAAGGGTCCACAGACTAAAAACGCGATTTTTAGTACAATTAATGGCCATAATCCTGGAAGTTAGTGTCTGATAAGCGAACATATCGAAAGGAATACATATCTTTGGGATATAAACATATATTTTAAGTTTCATAAAAATCGTATAAAAATTGTGACCTCTAGAGGGGTCCACATCTTTGGCTTTACATACTTTTACACTATTTGCGAACGGAGATCTGCCATTTTGTCGGGCATTTTTGGTCCGATTTTCTCGAAATTCCAACCCACCTCATTATAGTGTAACGGTGTAATATTCAAACTTTATATTAATTCCGATAAAAATTGTGACCTCTAGATAACGCGATTTTTGGTACAAAACAGAAGCGGGCAAGACTGTCGTGTTTCTCAAAAGGTGGAGAAGCCGAAGACATGCTATAACGTATGTTTTTTATTTTTTAAACTTTCGGATTATACCATGGAACTCTTTTTATCGTAGATAATTCTGAAGTTCTAAGCTTGGATTAATGCTTTATGTAACTGTAGCAGTTAATTATGTATTATATAGCCATGTTATCAAAGTGTATACATATATTTATAATTATATGGTTTTACGTTTTATTTGTTTAATAATACATTGACAAAGAATGATGGAAGAGAAGATTGAAATCAGGCGGGGAATCACAGAAAGCGAAACCCAACACTAGACTACCGCTCAGAGTCACGTAAATAATCAATCAATCAAATAATCATCAATGTTCCCTATCAATCATCTTTGTACAGTCAGAACAACATTATCCGTGACCAGAATAAAGAATTACAGATGTACATATCTAGATGTGTATTGTGGACATTCAACAAGCCAACAGTGAGGCTGATGTCCCCGCCGAAATCCCAAAATGAATAGATGACACATATTAATTTATCGCACATTTATTTTTTTCAAAAGTATCGAGCAATCAAACTAATGAAACTATACACCAAGTTTCATCACTCGCATTTAATTAGAACTATAGTTATCATGTCCCAAAGCATCAACCAATCAAATTGCTTGTCTTTGCTTACCCTAAACAGAAAATGCTCATCTTGGAACTTAATCAAGGCATTGACTTAATAAACACCTACACCAAGTTTGAACATTCTAGCTCAATTAGAAGGAGAGTTATTGTGTCCCGAAAAGTGTGACGGACAGACAGACAGACGGACGAATCCATTTTTATATTCCCCATCTTTCTTGGAAAGGCTGTGGACAATTTTATAACCTGGTCGTTTTATAATGTAAATTGTACCAAGACAGCAACATTTCCAGCTAATCTTCATCAACTTCGATGGGCATTATACCCATTTCCAGCTAATCTTCATCAATGTCTATGGGCATTATACCAATCTTAGATTGCCAATTTGTGAGCAGGACATATATCTTGTTTTTTCTTTTATATCTTAAACCAACAACAAGACAAGACACAATTTTCACAGCAGTCCTTGAGACATTACCTGGCAAATGCGGTTCCAGGTTAAACCAACCATTAAGGAAAATTTGTAATACCGTTATATATTTGACTACAAAAAGTTAAAGAACGTAAATTTGGAAACAAATTTTTTTATTGACAAATATCGAGAATGTTTGACAAAAAAAGAGACAGGGTGGTGCCACATTGACAAGTTATACATATATGTATATATAGCTTCACTTACATTGCATATAATTCTCTTTACATTAAAACAAAGTAGACAAAATAACACATGAAAAAAAAAACAATAGCACGGACAGTAATTACATAAGTGAGATTATTGAAGAAATGAAAAACAATCTTCTTTGGAATGTGATGAAACTTACTTATCATATGTGTGTGTGGAATATTAGGTTTTTCATTTCAGCATTCTGTCAGCCATTCTGCACATTTGATTAATCCAAGATTATCCATATTTTCTATTGCGGGTTATAATAATTTTTTAGCATTATCTCAATTTCATAACCAATTTTAACTGAATTTGCTGTATTCTGTTTTATTGTTAAATTCTTTTGAGTTTAAATTCACCAACAAATCAATTCTAAGGCTATCAATTTCACTGGCAGTCAGTCAAGACCAGAAGAATGATTGAATGAAATGAGACCAATGCGGTTTATAACCCTTTCTAATATCAATATTCATGTACCGGGAACTGTAGCATTAAAATTAGTAGGCATGTGCCATTATGTAAAATAGGTTGATGGTGAAAGTTAAATTGGTTATCAGATTCTGTTGAAAATTAAATATAATGTTATCAGATATGGCTGGAAATTATATATAATATATACATCAACCTAATAATATACTATACTCTCCATCAGAACACTGGCCTTTTCAATAATATTATTCAGATCTTTCATCACCTTATAAATTATAACCCATATGTCCTCTCATCCAACCATTAATATATTTTTTGTTATTATTCAATTTAACATTGTCTTTTGGTTATTATTCAATTAAACATTGTCTTATGATTATTATTCAATTTAATATGGTCTTATAGTTATTATTCTATTTAACAATGTCTTATTTTCTTATGGTTATCATTCAATTCATCATTGTATTCCTACTTGTATTTTACACACACAACCATTATCGCAGACTCAATATAGATGCCCAGCCCAGAACAAGATTAGGCTCACTTTCTGTCATATGATCATCATAGTATAAAGCTATCAAAATTATGCACTAAGTTCACAAAAATATAAAATAAAAAAGATAACATTAAACAATTATAATAAAAACAAAACAAATGACCCATGTAAATAAAATATAACAATAAATTTTTAATGATGAATGACTCATATAAATTCTTACTTTATCCTAAACTTTAAATATTTCTTTTACTTACTTGATAGACAGATGTTGAATATAAGTAAATGAACTTGAATTTAATACATAGTACAAATGCACTATAATCGTTTTTCTTTGGGCTTTTAGGGTTAAGTTTAGACTTTCATCAATATATCACTGCTTCATTTTAAAATTTTTAAAATGTAAATCGAATTTAAAAAAGAAAGAATCTTAACAAAAATCTTAACAACATTTGAAAGGCACGTAAAACTTGCAGGAACATCATAGCGTATAAATTGTATATTCATCACAAAGCAACTACAAGCAAAATTTTAATGTTTAGAAATATTATTACTTCATCTATCTTAAATTCCACTGACAATTCTTTAGATAATGGAATTTTTAATTTAATGTTTTGATGACAATAGAGAGATTTATTTTGATTTGTAAGAAATCTTATAAAATGCTAGAACACAATGGGAGATAATCCAAACCATATTATGTCATTCAGAATGACATCCCTTGATAACTAATGTTTCATGGGAATTCATTAATAGATTTGTGATTAGCCTGTTTGCAAACAAATAAATATTAGCATACATATTTGTAAAAAATTATTTAGGATTTTTTTGATTTAATGAGCAACAAATTCCTAATTATTTAAAGAATTTTTTAAAATTATTTTTGTCAAGGGCATGTTTAAATGCATTCCATCCTGGACATCTTTGATTATTATTATTCCTCATTGGATATTTTAGATTAAGATCTAGGATCTACCGTGGGAGTTATGTCTTAGATTATGACCACTATTCCTTAAATGTCTTTAGATATTATTTAAATTTTAATTATTATTCCTTAAATCGAATTAAATAATGATTATTATTCCTACAATATTTTTTAATATTTTGAACTATGATGGTTATTTTTAAATCTCACTGGATATTTTGGATTATTTTAATTATTCCTAAAATATTATTATGACACAAATGATGGTGGTGGTGCTGTATATGATTTAATTAACAGACGGATACACAAACAAATATTTACAATAAAAATAACACACAGTGATCATATACATCATATATATGTGAGGAGAAAGTTTGAAAAAAAATATCACTGCATAAGGAAATGATTATAATATATATTTCCCAAAGGAAATAATTATAATATATATTTCCCATTAATAAATACACAACATATAATAACAGCAACATTGTTACATTGTTTGTAAGTAAATTAATGTCTTTTACAGGCAGTTAGAAGCTGAATATAACAATTCTGATAAGATGAAAAATTTCTATATTTATTTCACTCATTATCCTGTTATCCATAAGAATTGTTATAGGTAATTGCTTATGATAATTTTAATACATTCTCAAACACACTGATTACTATTCCTGCAACAATAATACCAATAATCATGATGCATTAATTATTATTCCTGCAGCAATAATACCAATAGTTATCGGCACAGTAATTATTATTCCTGCAACAATAATAACAATAATTATCGATGCAGTAATTATTACTCCTGCAACAATAATACCATTAATCATCTATGTAGTAATTATTACTCCTGCAACAATAATACCATTAATCATCTATGTAGTAATTATTACTCCTACAACAATAATACCAATAATTATCAACCAATGTTTTGTAATGTATTATTTACCACTGCCTTTATTAATATAACTATAGATAAGTCTATAATAATATAACAAGTATAAACAAAACAATAATTAGTTATACATGTACAATGTTGCAACATCTTCATACAAAATAAGTCCGTGTTCACAATTGAATCCAAATTTCATTTTAACCCTCCCTCAAAGGTAGCTACATTAATGTTTCCCATTTTATTAAGACAATCTGAAGACAGTGAATTTATTTCATAAATTCCCAAATCACTGACTGGGAATTATTTAGTATCTTAAATTGCTCCTTTGTGATCTCAATGTGCCATGCACACACTAACAACTTTCTGCTGAACAAATACCTCAGCCAATTGATAAATACTAGTAAAATTACATGTACCTCTAAATCAGAATCCACAAGTCTATGTTCTAATCTAAAACACTTGGCTAAGAAAATCTGCTGAACAAATATATTAGTGCGTACTGGCCTTTTGATTCATGTGAACACAGCTTAAGCTTGGGTCTGTTAAAGCTTTAAGAATAATAATAATGTAATTACACCAAAATATGCCAATTACAAACAATATGGAGTATAACATGTTAAGTCATATCATATTGGTACATTTGATGTACTTTGTCATAAGATATTAGACATTCAAAGAAAAAAAACACTTAAAATTGGTTTAGATTTTTTAACATGAAAAATTCACATCAATACAGTTATAGGCAGGTATATAAAATTTCTTAAAAATTGAAGCTAGCCAATCACAAAGCTTCTTACATCTAAATTTTGCGTAACCATAAGCTGCAAATCTTTTGGGACTTTAGATGGAGGCCAATTAAAAAGCATCTAAATTATCCTTTTTAAAGCACCTACATAATCTACTGCTTCACATAATTACCGAGATTTTTCTGTTAGGTCTTAAATATTTTATTTTAGAATAGTGAAGTAGTGTCTTCAATAAAATTATGGCACAAAATATATTTACTTCAAATCAAATAGAGTTTTTGAACATCAATCCAGATATTATCCTTGTTGGAACCATTATGAATTTGTCATATAAATTTCACAGCAATGTCTCAGAAATGCACTCTTTTGGGAACACCTCATAGCACTTTCTCATTTTCAGAAATATTTTGAAATAAAAATTCAATTTATCTTTTCTTTATTGTGCTGAACACAACACACATATCTAAAAAGTAGTTTCAATTTCATGAGTGTTGTTTTCAAAAGAACATTTCACACAAGAGACATTGAATATGAAATCTTGACAAAGTACTCCATTTCTAAAAACAAATCATTAGTAGTATCATTAAATGATTTTCAAACATAAGTGTTATTACAATTAGTTCACACATATTAGACTAGCTAAAAAGACTAGAGTTCCATTTTAAAATTAATTTCACATTTCATAAATCGCTTCGCTCATATGATTTACATACGATTCAAATGTTATATTAATTGCAAAAATATTTTTTGCACTTACAAAACGTATCTTTATCTACTACTATCAACACAAACAAATGGAACTTTAATTTGTTCAATATTTTTCAAAACAATTGAATTTCTTAAAAAAAAAAAAATTCTGTTGAAGTCATTACCTTTTTTTTCTATCATCTAAAACAAATTCAAATTTATTTTTATTGAAACAAATAGTTTCTAATTTTATTTCGTTATCTTCTAAACGAAGCTATATTACGAAACCAAAAAATAAGTCTTACAAAAAAAATCACTCTTCAATTTTCTACAAATACTATTCCATTACTCTGTAGTGTTCCCTTGAATTCACATTTCACATGGTGGTGTTTTCCATCAATAATTGAAATCGTTGAATCAAATGGTGTCAACAAATAATCACCAAATACTCCACCTGATACGACGGTTCTTGTCATGTGACTTGGTGTCATCATACTGTCACCACCTACTTTATGGGTTCCTATAAAAGTAAAAGGATTCCCTCAGTCACATAAAAATATTATTATATACTGGAATACAACATGTATTACTATATACTGGAACACAACAACATGTATTACTATATACTGGAACACAACAATGTGTATACTGGAATACAAATACTGGAATACAATGATATGTATTATTATATTCTGGAATACAACAATTTGTATTATTATATTATGAAATACAAAAGATTTGTTTTTGTGCCTTATCACAAAATAAAAAAAACATTTCTTGGTATGGATTTCCAAGTGAGAATGATAGAACATCATTTTTAACTGAAAATATAAATTTTACTCATACCTTTTATTTTTTCAACCTTTCCATTGTTCAAGCTAAGGATAATTATGTTCTCTGTATCGGCGGATGACATGACAAAATCGTAACCTTTTCTCTCAGATGACGGGAAGAATTCCACATCACTAATAGTTGTACTAACAATTACTTCAAAACCCATCTCCAACATACCTGTAATTAACAATGTTGAATATTGTAGATGTTTATAAAAGTCTACTATGGCAATACATTTTGAGACATGGTTAATTTTTGTTTATGGTCAAAAGTGCAATTCTAGTGACAAGACTCTTGCCTGCAGATCAGAATGTCCACCCTCTTTAGTGAATTTTGCCAGTCACATTGAATTTCAATGATAGTAAGATAGGTTGCCAGGCAACGAAACATACACCCACAGCAGCTAAATCGCCTGAGCGATCGACCAGGGTTGCTGCATATTTATTCTTTTGTAGGTTATTGGGGGCATTTACAAAACAATTTATATTTTTTGTCCTTTGAGTGTTCACAAGGTTCTAAAAACTGAAACAAGGGCTTTAACGCTGGAAGTAATTTATAGAAAATTTTGAAATTTGACAGGCTTTTTCGTTTTACTATTTTAAATAATGGATATAAATTTCTTACAAATCGAATGATAACTTTTGTCATTCGAACGATCACAAGGTTCACAAAGTAAAACAAGGACCATAACTCTAGAAATAACTGACGGAAATTGCTGAAATCCAATAGACCACCGTTTCACAAATTTAAAGGATGCATATAAATTTCATACATATCAGATGATAACTTTCATCAATCGAGCATTAACAAGGTTGAAAAAAGTGAAACAAGGGCCATAACTCTAAAAGTAATTATTGCAAATTGCTGAAATTCAATAGGCTGCGTGGTTTCACTAATCTAAATGATGCATATAAATTTCATACACGAGGTTGGACAGGCGACCCTACTCCTTGTCACGTACAACCAGGGACTTGAAACCACTCCAGTTGACTCAATGAAAGACCTTATTATACAGCGTGCATGTGCTAGCCATTCGGCCATCCAACACCCCAGATCGGCAGATAACTTTAGATGTTAGAGCGTTCACAAGGTGCAACAAAGTGAAACAAGGGCCATAACTCTAGAAGTAATATATGGAACTTGCTGAAATTCAATAGGATTCTTCTTTCTATTAATTTAAAGCATATATATTTCATACAGATCGGCAGATAACTTTAGATGTTCACAAGGTGCAACAAAGTGAAACAAGGGCCATAACTCTAGAAGGAATTACGGGAAATTGCTGAAATTCAATAGGCGTCTTCGATTCCCTAATTTAAATAAGGCATATAAATTTCACAAAGATCGGATGATAACTTTTGGTGTTAAAGCCTTCACAAGGTTCAACAAAGTGAAACAAGGGCCATAACTCTAGACGCAATAAATGGAAATTATTGAAATTAAATAGTCATCTACATCTCACTAATGTAGCCAACATATATCAATTTTAAAACAATCGGATGATAACTTTTGGTGTTAGAGCGTTCACAAGAAATTGTGGACGGATAGAATTTAATATCTGGTGAACATATACTTCACTCAAGTCATTTTGAAATAAATACACAGTAGTTTTGATTTCCATGTGCATGCCAATTTGTAGGCCTTCACATCCCATCCGAATGACTAGGCACACTTCCCTTGTCAACCCACAGGTGCTACCCCTGAAGTCTAAAAGGCTTATCTCGATCCACAATTCATCAGTAAGAATAAAGAAGTTTATATAACAATTACATTACTCATTATTATTTTATATACTATCTTCATTAGCCATGTTGGTGCAGAAAATTAGGACGTTAAACGGGGTGGTTTATTTTAAATTCACCGCAAATGTCCTGAGTCTCAAGGAATAATGACTGACCCTGGGACAGAAAACTGGAAATTTTACCTTCAGGTGTCACATTTGAGACTGATATTTTTCCAGACAGGAAATCCACAGTGACAACATGTCGTGAGTCAGGGCTGACAACTGGTCGTCCAGGAACTGCCAGGTGTGACACGATAGCATCAGTGATATAATCTACAACAATCTGCAATGTTTTACGAGTGGATGGTACAACACATTCTACTACAACATGACCACCTGAAAAATACCAATATCAATATACAACACTTTTGCAAATGGTTACAAAACTAAATTGGTTGATAATATTAAACACCATTTGAGAATAATGTTCCAAGACCCATCTCACAAATTTACTGTAAACTCTTACAAAATAGAGTAAAGACGTGTTCAAACAGCATCTCATGTCCCAAGTCCCATTGCACAAATTTATCGTAAACCCTTATAAATAGAATAAAGTGGTGAGGGAGAGGGTATATTATACAGATGATCAACAAGAAGAAATTTTAAATGGAATAGCTCAACCTTCTAATTACTCAAATCTCTAATTTTCCTTTTTTATTCAAATATGCTGTAATTTATGTTTATATAACAGTCAGGAAATTAGCTTTAGTTTGATAATTAGTATAGGCCCTATATAACAAATGTACGTTGCAACAAATTAAATAAAATTAGCTATACTTACCAACAGGAACAAAGGCAACTGATTTTGGGATACAGTCAAAGTGTGAGAAATCAATGACTTTGACATATTTCATCTCTACAAGATCAAGTTTAAATAAACCACGTTGTTGGGCATGTACGATATAACCAAAGTTAAAATGGTGGTTTAAATCATTCTGTGGTGGCATGAATATTTGTTCAACCTAAAAAGAAACAAAAAACATTCCAAATTTACATATGACAGGTTGCCATACAATGAAACATATGCCAACATCAGCTAAGTCGTCTGAGCATATTTATTCTTTTGTAGGTACTATAAACATTTACAAGACATTGATATCAATTTCATACAGATAGGATGAAAGCTGTTGTCATTCGAGCGTTCACATGGTTCTACAAAGACGAATGGACAGCAGTCACGTTAATATTCCATTTTCGTAATCTTCTGATTAAAAAAAACAATTGCCAAACTAGATGAGGTAAACCAGATCAGTTGTCATTAACCCTGCTAGTGCAGAAAAGTAGGACGTTAATCCCATTTTATTTTTGTAAACTAGATGTTGATGCTTGTCATTAATATGACATATTTTGTTTCAATTCTAAATGACATTACAATTGTCTAAATGCTGGCCTATTTTAGAAACATGGCTATTAGATAATATGAGAGTCTAGCACTAATTCTTCAATTCTAAATGGAATCCTTCTACCAGATTGAAGAGCAAAAAGCGTTACAAATGGTTGTTGGAACTCACCAGATCAAATCTGTTTCCTACAGGTTGAGTATGTACTGAATGGTGTTGTATTTCCTGACTGGCATCACGTATTACTACAATAGTCTTCATACTACCATCATCTCTTCCATTCCAACATAATACCCATACTTGATCTAGATGGGGTATATAGTATAATCCGATTGGTTGACGATCAGTGTCAATCACCTAGAACAAATATTGTTGTTAAACACGATATGCTTTAATAAGAAAAATCAGAATTAGTTCGGAGAAAAAAAACCAGATTTCTTTAAGGTATAAGTAATCATCAAGATGTGCTTACTTTTTCTAGAACACCTCATATCACTTTTCATCGTTTTGAGAAGATCTATTGATATTTGGAAATCAAAACAGGACAAAATTTCCAGAATAGTGCACAGCATAATATAGCATGTCTTCATTAGCTACCTTGGTTCAGGAAAAATCCCATATTTAGGTAATAATTTTAGTTTACCTTTGAAATTAAATAATTACTTAGAGAGAGAGAGAGAGAGAGAGAGAGAGAGAGAGAGAGAGGATTTAACATCCACTCAAAACATACTACACCATTCCAGGACTAAAACATGGCTCAATGTTATTTTAATAATCCTCAACAGTTGAAAGAAAATGGACGACTTGGAGAAAACACACAAGGTTGGAGAGGTAACCCTACTCCTGGTCACATATAAGCAGTGATTCAAATCCACGCCACTCAATGACAGACCTTATGATCTAAAGCACACACGTTAAAACATTCGGCCACCATGCCACCGTAAATTAAAGTAATAATAATCATTACCTGAATTGGGTTCCATTTTCGTGAAGTTTCTATGACAACAACACGATTTTGTGTTGGCTGACTGATAAACACAAACTGATTTTTAACATTGACAGACATTCCCCAATCACATTTACTGTTAGGACACAGGGTCAAGGGTGAGTCCAGGTTGTCAGGAATAAATTTAAAATTTCCGAAATTTCCTCGAACTTCTCGTCTCATCAAGCAAGATTGTGGTTGGTAAGCTGTATATCCTCTTGAGTGGAACACCAAGAATGTTCCAAATGATTTCTGTGAAGATGTGTCTGAAAAATAAACAATTCAATATTTCAAAGTCAAGATAATTTTCTAACTAAGTCCTGACCCTGAGTTCACAAAGCATTCTCAGACTTAAAGTAGTTAAATCGCTAATATTTGGGACCCACAAATTGACACAAATGGGTCGCAACGTATATAATAATGTAATATGAATGTAAATAAACTGATTTACATTCAATCGTTTCCGTTTTTACTCTAATTTCAAAGCAGTTATGTTCGTCGAAATACGCCAGAAGTCTCAATCAAATGACAATCTCTAGAGTCTGGTTAATCCAGTCTACACCGATAGTATTTATTGCGCATGCTCTCCAGATAAGAATATGGGGTCACTGTTAAACAAGACTTGTGGAATATGTCTAATCTCGTTTTTCCGAATCACTTGTATCAAATGTGCTGAAACACATTATGGTACACGAATCGTGTACCAATCGTAAAATGTTTATTTTGTTTTAAATATTGGATATCAGAAGCCCAGCTTTTACCGGTAAAATCACAACATCAATGTTGAATAAAATTGACAAATTATTCGTGTTTTCATTGTCGAAGGTTTTGAATGATACTGAGTTAGAGACTTAGCTACTGTAAGTTAAGAATTTACTCAAAATTGTTTGCCTTATTTTAGTTAAAATATAGAACTTTATAAAACTGTTGTTGTTTTAATATATCAAATAGATCAATATGAAACTATGTGCAAAGTTTTGTGTTTATGGATCAAACACATTTCTCATAAACAGTGACTGAAAGTTGAGTAAATTCTTAACTTAATGCTTTAAGAACTTAATGCCTGGTAACAAAATAAGGAGTTGTCTCCCTTTAAGTTTAACTAATAACATATTCCCAGCTATGGTTGTGCAACTTGGGAACTAGAAACATGTATATGTGACCTGTGTTGGCAAAATGAGTCACAATGAGGAAAATTTAAAACTGAGTTATTGTTATTTTCACATTCTCAATTTCAACCAAAATCAATATTGCTCACTTGTTTTGCTTGTAGCTCATTAAGCTCTGCTCATTCTGACTCATTTTAAGTGTGTTTTAGGTGTCAGAATTGATTGTGGACAGATTATGAAATCGTGACAATATTAAATCTAATGTACTTACGTATTTTAGAATGAGAAATATCTTCAATAAATATAGAAGCTACATCTTCAGCAATACCAGCTTGGTTTTTAGCAACACATTTATAAGCTCCTGTATCTCTTTGGTAGTCTGCTTGACGAATTGTTAAAGTTTCATTATCATCTGAAACAAAATATTATCAATTGTTTAGTTTAATTACTTTTTATATCTTAGACTGCTTTTAGAGGAAACTAAAGGGGACACATGGAGTGTAAGTAAAATAAATAGTAATAGTTGGAATTTGGTGAAGAAGCTGAAGACCGCTATCCGGACAATATGAAATAAATATCACTTTTGAAAGCTGCCATGAAATTAATTTATGCATCTTTTCAGCCCCTATCATTTACCTGATTGTATGAAATGATCTGGATCATGAGGTAGAGGCATTTCATTGATATTCCAGGAAATAACAGGTCGTGGAATACCCTCGGCATGACATTTTACTGTTATATCTGACTTGGACTGACGCATCTGACTCATTGGTGAGACTTGAACAATAGGTGGCACTGTAAGTATAGAAAGATCAAAATTCTGTAAATAAAATTTAACAAAATAACATAGAAAACTTCCAAACATTAAATTTATATTAAACATCTTAAAGATTCTAATCTACTCATGTAAGTCAACTCTTTTTTGGTGGAATACTAGTTCTCTGACTCCTGTAGATTACAGCTGTCTAAGAAGCTGTAGTTTCGGGTAGACTCAAAAATAAGCTTTCTTTACTTTATTCAGAGAATTGAGGTAGTCAATATTTACATGTACCATGTGCTAAATGATAAAAGCAGTAATATCACTTTTTTTTACCAATTTTCAGTGCATAGTTACAGCATGTATTGTTTTCACTGATAGATTTATTGTATTAGTTCAATTGTTTCTTTAGGGGGTCACGGTGGCTAAGTGGGTAAGACGCTGGCTCGCTAGCCTGGAGGGCGGGTGTTTGATCCACGCATTGGCCGAGAAAGTTCACCCAGATTTTCCGGTGTGGTTCCATCTTGTCAGTGTTACAGGACGGAGAGCCTAACAAGGACAGTTGTATAGTCATTTGGATGAGACGAAAAAGCGAGGTAACATGTACACATTGGCGTGCACGTAAAAGATCTCTTGACAGTTGGATATAAGAGTAGGCCGTAGTGCTGCTGTCCAGGCAAAATTTCCCTCATAGCACACTGTATGGCGTATGCCTATCTTCATTAGCCCGGTTCGGAGCAAAACAGTAGGACGTTAAACCCAATTTCATTTCATTTCATTTTCAATTTCATTCCAATTAAAGTAACATTGAATCATTTGCATTTTTCACTATAATAGCAAATTTCTAACTGCTTAGTCCAATAATCCACACAAAATATAAACTCATTTAACATTTAATTAAGAAAACAAAATCAAAATATGAATGCTAGATAATGCCCTGGCTTGGATTCAAAAGTTCTATCATTTTTGTTTTCCCACAACAAAATGGTAGAGGGTTTATTGGACCGATATCTCTCACAATATTGTAGTTTTGTGCGGGATTACTATTGCTTACAATGACACCCTCAAGACTTCAAATGACACAAACTTATTTCCTGGAATTAACCTACCCTGGTGAGCCAAATATTGAATTATCCTGGAATTAAACAAAACTTACTCTGTACTTTCAGGACATGAACCTGTTTAAAGTTGTTATTTTTACGATCAAAGCAGGAATAATTTCCAATATGATGGACCCCAATTGTACTGAAGAATAGCGAACCATCATCAAATACCTGTTGAAATAAATAATTCATCAAATTAAAATAAAATACAGAACACTATCATCAACTATAAAGGGTAACCAATTAAAAAGTCTGTATACAGTATATACGCGTAGTATGTGGACTTAACTAGAACTGGGCGATATTTCGTTTTTCCGATATGAATCATCACAGAAATAAAAACCATCAAAAATACCGTCTTCAGAAAAATATTGAAGAAACGAACATTCCACGATATATTACGATTTTGATTTTTCTGGATGATATTCAACATAAATATTAAAAATGTCTACCTTTTTATGTTATTTACGATATTTTATAGCTTAATGATGAATAAATAGCAATATAAGTAGGCCTACTGTTATAAACTCTGGAGTGTTCATTCCACGAAGTTAGCAAATGCCGATAAAGAGCTTTGTTTATGTCACATGTTTTCTCACTTATTTTTTCACCGACCAATATCCCTGCTTCTATTCAATTTCTTTATGAATTGTTTGTACATATGATTTGATTTTCCAAAGGAATCATTGATTTTCAGATTGAAATAAATATAAATAATGCAGCCAACTATATTGAGAGGTCCAGTAGACTGATTATCATTCAGCGTTGGACGTGTCATGGCAGACCATGATCTGGAAAAAATACTTGACTTAATCAATGGACACTTTTTGACATAGTACTTTTAGTAATTTTGCATTGCATAATGCATTTTCAAGACAGTTTGCGCTTGAATGAGTTAAAAACGATTTTGCTAGGGTAAATGTGTAGAATCCAATCGTACCCGTAGTTATAAAAAAACATGCACAGCCGAAAGAACACAGGTTTTTTTTTAAAATATTTTTTGTACCTCCTTCATGCAAATATCTTTAATTTAAAAATAATATCATAATTAATATACTGAAAATTAAAATTGTAATATTTGAACCAGCTCATTTAATTTTGTTTGTAAATTCGGTACTGTATTTATGCTAAAAACTTTTAATAATATTGACTAGAAAGTGTCAAGTGAATACTCCGGTGGTTTTTCCAACATTTTATGCATGTTTATTTGCATTTAAAAAGTGATAAACTGAAATTATTGACATTTTATAAAATATCGTGATATAGTGATTATATCGTGATATTTTCATAAAAAATTGTGCAGCTTTAGACTTAACTAGGGAAACGTATCAAACAGTTAAGCATACTCTAACTCATGCATGATACCCTCTACCACTCAGGATTCCTTAGTAGATTTTGTTAACTCCACCATATACATAAAGCAATTTCATTGGTCAATAACTATGGATCAATTTCAAACTGTTCATTATTAAAGACACCAAATCAGTATAAAAGTTCCATGGATATCTTATAATCCATGTTTTGTAATAGTGGTTACAATAATGGTGGAATGAACAATGAGTGGATCATAAAATGGCCTGACAAGGACAGCTGTCTAGTCGTTCAGATGGAATGAAAAAATGAGGTCCCGTGTACACATAGGCGTGCGCTTAAAAGATTCCTTGACAGTTGGAATTCGATATAAGAGTAGACTGTAGTGCCACTGTTCGGGCAAAATTTACCTCATAGCTCAATGTATAGTGCATGCCCGTCTTCATTAGCCCAGTTCAGAGCAGAGCAGTAGGACGTTTAAACCCCATTTCATTTCATTTCCTATCACTGTAGCTAGGCCAAACACACTGTGGGATGTTTGACACACTTCTACTGTATATTTTTCTTTTTTTTTTCTTGCATGGTACTGATACTCCAAGAGTGATGCATGTTTTGTTCACTCTGACATGGTACTAATTCTCCAAGAGCAATTAATGTTTGAGTATTAAATTGTTCACTCTGATATGGTACTGATACTCCAAGAGTGGTAAATGTTTGAGTATGGTTCACCCTGACAGGAAGCATTATCTTGATCACAGGTTTATTTTTTTATTTCCTCCTTTGGAGTTAAACATTGTCTTCGTCTAGTCAGACTTCATGAATATCTTATTTTATATATCTTTTCTTAATTCAAATGATTTTAGTCATTCTGTTCTGTCAGTTAACAAGGAGATTTTTCTATTGAACTCTGTTGATTCTCAGAGTCTTGTAATTAAAATGTCTGTGGAAGAAATTAACCTGTCAGTCATTTGAAATCCAGAAAATTATGTTTTTTATTGATCATTAATCACAGTTTGAAATACAGCCTTTGAAAGGCAGAGATTGGGTCTTGCCTACGCAGACTGAATAAATTATTTTTTTTATTCTATAGGTTTTGTGAGCAATACTAAGGAGATAGAAATTTGTCTCTGATAATTATTTTCTACCTACTCTTCTTCAAATGACAATTGTCAAGGGATGTCTAACGGGCACAAAAAAATGTGACACAGAACTTGGTAACCTGTTTGATGTGAACAACTAGATACTTCCTGAACATTACCTATCACAGATGAGAACCAATCCTAAAAATAAAAAATCCTGAAGGTACCATATGACCCATCTATGACAGGAACAGGCCTGGGTATTCTTTCATTAGTTCTATTGCAGTCCAACAACTACAAGGCACCTTAAACCACATTTCTGAGACAGATTTTGCTTTTTTTTTTAGGAAGGATCAAATTTTACTTACTGCTAAACCTTGGTCTGTATTATCACCAATTTCTGACTCGTATCGTTTCCACACGATGTCCTCCGCTCCAGGGATTGCACACTTCAACTCTAGTCCATTTCCTGCTGTAGCTAGGGTTGGTATAATCTGTATATCAACTTTCTGCCCACCTTTTCCCGATTTATCTACAATAAAACATTTAAGTTATTAATAGAAAAGAATTGGTTTCTTCTGATATTAGGTTTTTTTTTTCTTATATTGGAACATCTGAAAGTTGGGTTAAATAGCCTTTGTTACTGAGACACATTGATATGTAACAAGGGGTATGATTAGTGTGATTTATTACTGAGCTTATAGTCAGATATCTTCTGTGATTCAACAAAGGCATTCAAGTTATCAGACAAATGTGAAGAATATAAATAATACTGTTCAGTAACAAACAATAGGACAGTAACATGCAACTAGACAGAAAAATGTTTTATGCGGTGAAAGCTACACAGATAAATACAGAACAAACTAGACAGATTAAATGCTGTAGATTTAGTCAGATGGAGAACACAGTCATAAATCAAATGACTTTACATTAGTAAATGGATGATATTTGTAAATACTTGTAGACTAATATATGGTTCAGACATCCAACGTTAAGCTGCCGATTCTCAAACTATAGCAATCACCTAGACTAGAAGTCTAACGAGCTTAATGGTTCTAAAACCTTTGGTCAGATAATGTTAAACAAACCTATTTAGATGACAGCTCATTAAACTTATAACAGAGATGGTGGTCTTACATAGTTTAGCCTGTGGTCAATAATTTTACTGAATAAAAAACTGTTACAAGCCTGGAAATAAGGCACCTGTAACAGACTTTGTCCAGCACAGATCCAGGCTTTGCTTGGCACTAATTCTTCATGTGTCTGACATTTTGACAGTTAAAAATTTGTCTATTTTCTGTATTTTTGTTAATATTTTTAAAAACTTGTCCGGTACGTACAAAGTTGAAAATCTCAGGTACAATATTTGCAGACCTGTTGTTTGCATGTAAATTGTCTGACAGGTAAATCTTTCAACCAGACATTAAGTGTCAATGACAGTCAAAAACTGAATGTCCAAATGGTCAATATATAAACTAAGTTATCTACTTACCAAAAGCCTTAAGGAATTCATTGACTGATATTTTATTATCATTAGGTTCAACATCATCATATAACAACATATCGGGTAAACTACAAAAGTTATCAAGTTGTCCAAAATCCTCTTTCTTCTCAATCTCGTATAACTCTGATTTCTCCAAATAATAATCAATATCCCGGTCATAATAACTAAATATTAATGTAGCCAGATATTCACGATCTGAAATTAACACAAAAAAAATTATTCAAATTTCAGTAAAATAATCTTTGTTAGCTACATGTATGTGATTTATCCGAAATGAGTGAGAAGTCGTATACTAGTAAACAGTAGCCGCATCAGAGGGGCATGGTTGAAGTGTAGCCAACAGTATCAGGTAAACTTAAACAATTCTGTGCGATATTAATTTAAACATTAACCCCAAAAATAGACAGGATTGCAGCCAGCCAGAAAACAAACAGAAAACAAACAGAACGTCTTTTATCAATACTCCTACTGATTAGGGGCGTGCCAAAACCTCAAAAGGAAATATGAAACAGTTTTCAAAGGACTATAACTCTGAATATTGCTATTTAAATGTGATAAAACTTCATATTAATATGTTTAAGTGAACAATGCCAAACCACAATATACCACTATATTTAGTATTTCTGTTAATTGTTTCCTGATCCAGGAAATAATCAAAATCACATATTTTACTGGAAATTTTGAACATTCTATATTAATAGCCAATGGGATAAGGTATATGCTGGTTCAGCTCTACAACTAATTCTATCTTAAGATCCAAATGTGACCGACCCTACACATTTCCATTCTGATTGAGATTCAAATCAGGAGCAACTTTATACAATATACAAAATGTAATATTTTATTGTAATTGTTGATAAATATAATGCTTACCTTTCTGCTTGCTGACTTCTGATTTACAATCTGGTTCAGCAAAACGAGCACAGTGATGAGTCAATAGCTTCTCCTTAAAGTCATTGTAGTTTTTCAGATTGCATCCCTTGTCTGTACCATCAACAGATCCCTTGTCCTTGCCATTGACACCATTCTTCCAGGATTCCTTATCATCAGCAGAATTAACATGGTTTTTCTTGTAGGATCCAACAAAGATTTCTTTGGAATCAATGATTGCACCAGCTGGTAATTTGGGGTCAACTGGAGCATCAACTGAAGAGGGTTTCTTGAATTTTGGTTTCATAGTGATGGCAGGTGTATCTTTAAAACAAATTAATGATCTCAACAAATAGTAATTACTTGATCCATCACATCATTTAGTGTTAATTTTCTACAAATTACATTTCTTTACTCAAAATAAAATAAGAGTAGGTATTGGCCAGAGTTAAACTATGAAAGTATCTAGGTATTTAAAGTTTTCCATTTTTGTTGTGCAGATGCTGAGGTGATGAGAACTATTTTGTTCCATTGACAATTCAAGAGATGGTAATATGAAAGCTAAGACAGGCAACAATACTAGATTAGGTACTGCAGATTCAGCTTTTTACAGACCTTTATTTGAAAAAATTTGAGACATTTTCATTATACCATATGGCCCCAGTTTCACAAAGCATTCTCAGACTTAAGTTAAGAATTTACTCAGCTTTCAATCACTGTTTATGACAAATATCTTTGATCCAGAATCACAAACATTTGCACATAGTTTCTTATTTATGTGTTCGATACATTAAAACAACAAAGGCTTTATAAAGGACTATATTTTAGTCAAAATATGGCGAATAATTTTGAATAAATTCTTAACTTAAGTCTGAGAATGTTTTGTGAAACCAGAGCACAATCTTTTACAGAGCCGTAGGTCCAAAACAACTGTATATACTTTGTTTACTTACCGTCATCTGATTTGAGACATAGATTACTTCTATCAACTTTAATGTGAATACGATGAACACAGGCTGTACGATGTAATTCACAATGACTAGGATACCAACTACCATCTGATCCACAGACTGGATGATTGTGTTTTAAACATCCATCATTAGGTAAGCACATACAAACACCTTGATGACACATTCTACCCATTCTACAGTCCATATCATGCTTACAGAATGCTGAAATATAATTATATCTACAATTATGTAACTGTTTGCATAGTCACCAAGACGCATAATAGTAATGTAAAGTTTGAAGTGGACATCCTGGTAACCAAGACTACAAAACCCAATGATAAACAGTAACAATCAACGTTTGTGTAAGTAAAGTATGATTGATCTCACACATAGTTAAACACCAAATGCAATAGACAAAATTGGCAAAATCAAGTAACGCGAGAGAAAAGCACCACCATCTATTCTGGAAAGAGAAGGCATATTATACCATGGGAGAATGTCATGATGTGCTCCATGTGGCTTATAATATTTCTAAAAAGAGTATAGATTGACAAATATATTAGGTAAATGGCTAATCAGAGAGATTCAAAGTGAGTATCTGACAATCAGGTAGGGAGGAAATCAGCTTAGAGGGATGGAAAGAGATGGCATCAGGGAGATGCATAGAGGTGTATATGGGAGATGAATTTGGCAGATATCAGCTTAGAGGGGGCACCAGGACAATGCATAAAGGGGTATATGGAAGATCAATTTGGAGGAAATCAGCTTAGAGATATGGATAGAGATGGCATCTTTCAGATGGATAGAGATGGCATCTGGAAGATAGATAGGGATGAAATCAACTTGTACACAGATGGTATTTTTGAGATGAATAAAGACAGTAAATTGGAGAAGGATAGAGAATGTAAACTGTAGCAAGAAGATAGAAAGACCAGGAAGATTGGAGTATTTATTACCACACACAGTCCTATAAACAACAGACTGTTGTGTAATCGATATGAACTTTCAGTATACATGTAATTGTAATGATATATTCCTTACTGACACTCAAAAAAAAAACCTGATAAAAAATGTATATGCGTTGTAGTCTTGAAACCATTACAGCAAGATTTATTGCCTTGTTCCTGACATTAGTTATATCAAAACACTGAAATCAACATTTTCTAAATTCACAATCTCTTTTATTCTAATATATCATTGGTGGGGAGTCAAAAGATCGTATCTGGCATATTTTGCGATATTCACTTTTTTGCTTCTTCAGAATGAGAATTTTCTTGCGCATCTTTTCATCTGGTTGTCATATTTCTAAGCCAATAAAAAGAGGTTTTATAGATACTGTTTCAAAATGTCAGATATGGGGTGTTCCAAAAACAAAAAAAAAAATTATTACGAGCGAAAATGTCATATTTTCTGGAAAAAATCAACTTTGTGTCTAACCAAAGCATTACAATCAAACGAAATATAGCCAATATTGTTTTATGGCTACATACGTATTATTGAAATTATTGTTTAGTCTCTACTGTATGAGATCTATGAAATTGAAGCAGTTAAAGGTGAATATTTTCCTGAGATACGTCTTTACTGTATAAAATTGCAAATAACTAGCTTTCACTCCATATTTCTGCACTAGATGTTGAACTTGATATGTGCGGATAGTTACATACTGTTTAAATGGCTACACATACATTTTGTACATAAATATTTGAAGAAAGCTTCAGAAATACGACATTTTATATACAACATTTTGACGTGACGGTTTTATAAGACATTTTGATTCTTAACCTCTGTGCTATTTTTAACTCTCCTGGACAATTTCACAAAATCCAGATACGACCTTTTGACTCCCCACCGACGATATCTTACATCGACTGTGTAAAAGCTGCACTAGACTCATGGAAAAAAAAACAATAACCAATTGTATACATGATGTGGCAAGGGCCCTTAAAAAAACCTTTGGCTAAACCAAGTATTTTGAAGAATTCCCAAAGTAAGAGAACAAGCTGGTTTATTACAACATGCGTACAAGAAACAATAAGCAGGTTCAAGCAACCCACGTTGGGTCCATAATACATAATGTCAATAAGTAAAACAAGTCTTACCTGCAGGTTTGGACTCAATGTAGGTTTTCACTTTCTTATAATCTTTCTTGGTGGCCGGCTTCTTCCCTGCTGGAGTTACCATGGGTATCTTGCCTTCTCCGTAACCAGGAGGAGGAGGATTTGGACTGGTCTTCAAGTCAGGTTTCGTATTCGTAAAATCCTTCAAATAGACTGGGTTTTCCAGATCCTTTTTAACAGATTCATGTTTAGTATGGTAGACTGGATAACCACTGTATGAAATTTCCTTTGATTCTGCTTTTTTCTTCTCATCTTTGCTTTGATCTTTTTCTGGAACGATTGAGTCATAACTGTTCAATCCTTGATATTCTTTCACATTCTTTGTTCCTGGGTCATCCTCAACTTTCTTTTTACTTTCAATTTCATTTTCCGTAACCTTGTCATCTTCCTTGTTCTCAAAGGCAATTGGCTGCTGGAATTCGGCATGCCAATCTTTTTCACTTTTTTCTTCTTTCTTTAAAAAAGATTTTTTATCATCATCCAAAAAGGATTCAACATCATCTTTTAAAGACAGAGATTTATCAAATGAAAAGTCAGAATCCTTTTTGGTACCATGTTTGCTGTTTTTGCTGTTACTGTTATAATCAGGCACATTGTTGGTATGAGAGCTGTCACTTGTTTCTTTCTCTTCAGGAAACCATTCGGTCCAATCTTTATCCCACCAGTGCTTGTGTTTCTGAAGCGGAAAAGAAAGATAAAGTTTATTTAAAGTTCAGAATTATATTTTGTTGACAGCAGTTGATCATTATTTCATCCCACTGTAGTGTTAAATCACTATCTTGCTGATCTGAAACATTAAAACTTTGGAAAGAGAGCAAGGGAAATAAATGGGATTTAACGTCTACTCGACACAAACTTGGTCATTTCAGTATTACCATATGGTTCAATTTTATTTTAATAATTCACTAGTGCGTAGGGATCTTTAGCAGTGGGGGTAAAATGGAGAACCCTGAGAAATCGCACAAGGTTAGACAAGCAACCCTACTCCTTGTCAAAATCACTCCACTTGACTTGATAATCTAAGGATCACACGTTAAACCATTCATTCACCCAACCCTTTGTTAAAGCTTTGGTGACATGTTGCTTTGGTGTAGAACAGACGTAAATGTAGAGAAATTCCATTCTTTTACTAATTGCATCAATATTTTTGTAATATTCTCGATTGTAAAGATCTTATGAATTTTCCTATAAACAAGATTTCATACATCAATGATAAATGATCCAGACATGTGCATGATCATAAAATGTCAAGTATATTGCTTTAACAGTGGGCAGTTAGCAGGTCGATAGCCTTAGGGGTTTCATAATTTCATTATAGCTATGGATAAAGATGAAATGAGAGTCAATATACAGCAATGTTTGATTATACTAGCGCTTCACTAAAACCCTGATATTTGGAATCATGGACCACTGATACATATGCATTAGATTGAGACTCTTAATGCCTTGTACACTCTCTTCATTCAGAGCCATAAAGGAAGTTCACCATAGTGTGGTTGAAGTGTATTTCTATTGGTCTATTGATTGCAAAAATATTTTCTAGGAATGAACAATAAATACTTTATTCTCTTCCAAACTGTCGATTGATTTATTGTAAAAATAGTCTGTGTTTTCAGCTCAAATCATTCAGTCTGTAGTTTTCAAAAGACTAAAACACAAATCAGTCATCTTCAAATTTTGTTCAATAAACACTTCATTGGAGAAAGAATAATATTTTCTCAATAAAATAAAATTGGAAGAACCAGAAGCCCTAACAGAAGAATAGGCTATATGTCTGTCTACTCAATAACCCCACCAGATCAATATTATAACTTAGAAACTTCCATAACCATAGGTTTATGTTAAGTAGCCACAGTGGCTCAATGAGTAACATGCTGGGTTGCTAACCAGGATGTTTCAGGTTCACTTGGGGTGCTGGCATAGAAGGTTCCTCTGGATTTTCCGGTGATGTTTCCCCTTGTCAGTTATGCAAGGACAGTGTTTAGTTATTCGGATGGGAATTTGAAATAAAAGTGGGCTGTAGTGCTGCTGTCCAGGTAAACTTTCCCTCATAGCACACTGCATGACGTATGCCCGTAGCCCAGTCAATGCAGAAAAGTAGTATGTTAAACCCCATTTCATTCCATTTCTAGATGTTAAAAAGTAGAGGCATAAATTTCTTTACGACAAATGATTGCATTTCTGCATTACCTATAATTAAAGATACATTATGGGAGATTTTTATAGAGAGTTGGCCATTCTTGTTATAACAGTTCAAAAGTAGATGATGAAAGAAGAATATATTGAAAAATTCAGTCAAATTACTTTATTCTGAACATAGTTATCATCGTTGTAATATTTGCCTAGAAATGGTAGCGAATTGTGTCTTCACCTTCGCTGATCGTTTGATTGACAGGCGTTAACTCCACCTACATATCTCGATTATCAAGTAAAGTTTTCAATGGCATACCGAAACGCTTTACGGCGGCCTCGCTAAATACACTCTATCATTTAGCCTCGATCTAACCGACGCATTTTTATCAGGTTACCCCTTATTTGATTTAATCAATTAGTGAAATCCTATTTAAATCCAAGCTGTAGCCGAGCCATCCGTGGGTCTACAGAGTTGATTTTGGTCTTGTTGTTTAAATAAAGATCTAATTTATAATTTCTATAACATCTGAAGCCTAAATTAAGACTTGCAATAATCAGATTTAGCTCTTGCATAATGCATGTTTAATAATTGATGTTGTTTGTTTTGAGAACACCTGATGACACTTTTCATTTAATGATCGGTTTACATGCTTTTCCATTGAACATCACAATATTCTAATCATGAAGCTGGTGGCCGTGCTTAGGCCTCACTATAACATGGTTTGTTTTTGGCCACCAGTCAGGTCCTGCACCAGTAATCAAAAAGGTGCATGCACTAATTGAACTTGGACCCAACATCAGTATTTGTGCCTTCTTTTAAATACAGTATCTATACAAGAAATGAAATGGTTACTAAAAATGGCTTTCTTCCTGTGACTTTTTGATTGTCTGTGGTCCCAAGGAAAAGAAACAATTACTGGCAATGTGCCATTTTTAGTTGATTCTTGGATCAGTGCTTGAAGTATATCAGCATTTATAATTGATGATTCTTGTTCTCAACAAAAAAGCTATCATTATATTTTACAATACAAGTATGACTTGGAATATTTTGACATGATTTTATCTTTAAGAAAATCAATGTTGACAGATATAATTAGCATATTATTGATTGATCAAATGAATTTCAATATTGTGCTTTATTGATCAACAGATTTAAAATATTATTTCTGTTTGATGAGTAAATAAATTAAATAATTAAATTCTGTTTATTTCTGGTAACAACTAATTGATCTTATCACAAAATACATTAATTTCTCCATGTCAACATACTTTAACACTTATTCAGAAGTGCATTTTGAAGATTGCAATGTTTCTGTCTAATTTTCATCAAAGGACAACTGTCATAGGTTCTTTGCCATGCACACCAATGTGTACACAGGACTTTGTTTTTTTTTGTCCCATCCATATGACTAGACACTGTACCTTTCCAAGCCTAATTACGTCCTGCACAACCAAAAAGGCATATTCACAAAGAAAAAAAATCCAGAGGAACTTCTCTCTCAATACTGGAATGAAAACTTGGAACCTTTTGGTTGCTCACAAAGCCATTCACTTAATAAATTGAATGGCTAATAAAATGAGAGCTCTCGATGACAAAAAAATATATAAAATGTTTCACATAACCTGGTCATACTGTGAGGTTTCTTCCCTCCCCCACCCCCAGCTTATCCTGATTTATGAAGGTGTAGCCAGTCTATGTAGGTGCAGGACTACAGAGATCAGTTTTGAGTGATCAAACTGCTGTGGGACATCTCATCATTTTTATGGCCAATACAATTTATAGTTTCAGTATAAGCCCTATATATATTTATTATAAGTCAATGGGAATCACAATAACAATGTTGGAGGGCATGTTGACCGCCATCTAATATCGAACTGCCCTTTTAGTGAGGTATCTGTGTATCGGTTGACGCATTAGAACCAACAGGATATCTGTATATGTTGCAAATTGTGATCACACACACTGATTAATATTGACAATATGCCACACGTCACACTCTCGTAGACTTTCAAACATTGCCGTCTTCTCCTCCACATGCAAAATATACATTACATGATTAAATCCCTCCACATGTCTATCAAACTCGTGACAAGGTGTATTACTACATTATTGACCTGATTACTTTACCACGATGTAAGGCTATTAACTCCCAAGGCCCTGTGGCTAGCACTAAATAGATTTAGTAGAAAGCCATTCATGTTGTTCTATTTTCCACCATTTTTCCACATGAGAAAGTTTGGTTGGAACAGATAAGCCAGTAACATAGGAGGTGATTGACATTTAATATCATATTGAGAACAACATCAGCTTCAATATAAACCATGACTTCATTATAGCCACGTCTACTATAGGGCTCCAGGCAAGAGACAATAAAAGAATTTATTAAAGAAATGCTGTTTTTTTATCCCCTGTGACATACACCACTGAAAAAGGAAAATGAGGCTGAAATATCTTGGGGGAATTTTCTCAGCTAATATTAGGATACACACCAGTTAAAGGGGCATTATGTAAGATTTATATAAAGATCTGGCCGTTCTCGCTATAATATTTCAAAAAAGATAATGCGAAATTAATATATTGAAAATTACATTCAAATTAGCCTTTTTTATTTTGATCGAAGTTATGAATGGTTGTAGTTTTGACAAGATGTGGGCATCGATCGTAACCACCATACTGGTCATTCAAGTCTTAGCCTCACTTCTCCATTTTTAAATTAAATCATTCAATGGCTGAATCATTCCAATCTACTTAAAATCAGAGCCATCCGATGGCATCGAGAGTTGATTAGGGTCTTGTCATGTTAATAAATGTCTAATTAATAATTTATGTAACATTTAAGCCCTAAAGAAAGACCTGCAATAGGCAGATTAATTTAGCTCTGAGTGAGTCAGTGTCAAATTAATAATAATTATACTCTCATTTTTGGAATGTTTTTGGAATTTGAATTTGATTCACAATATCTTAATGTCCAGTTTGACATATTAGTATTCAGACTTCAATCAATGCAGGCGGACATGTTCGGCATATACGTATGAAACAGAATAGATATTCACTTTAAATTCATTTTCACCAACTCTCCACTTTCGTTTACTTCTAATATCTTAATTCTCTTTACTAAATTAATTGTGTAAAAGTGAACTCAAGTTTCTGAAGTTTAAATTATCATTTATTCCAGTATCTCTTTTTAGTCTGGATTAGATGTCTACATTTAGTAACAAGAAAACAGTTTAATTAAACCCTGTACAAAGCCATGAATAATTGCGTCTGGAGCGTAAAGATGTATAAAACACAATGTCTTAAATATCCAGTCAATGTGTTTATAACATCCATCTTGAAGTCTCCCCTACCGTTAACGACCACATTTTGATCCGACCTAAGCTGGGTAATATTGAATGACATGAAGACTAATCGAAGTTATGGATTTTTTTGTGGGTCCAAATCGGTTGAAATTGTTGTGATCGCGTGTCTCTTCATACAAGGTATCAAATTGTTGCCAATTCACAGAATCTATCTGGAAAACTGTGGACATTAAATCAATAACG